CTTTTTTTGTTCGTAAAGCACGGAGCACCAGCTCTAGTAGTTGTGGTTGTCACAGCAGCAGAAGAAACACAAGGCTGTGAATACGTGTATACTGGGTCTGTGCTTTGATGTCGCAGAAGTTCAGACAAGAGAAGAAAAAGAGACGCCATTGAAGTTGGGTTGCCTTTTTCTTGTTTGATGAATTGCGTCAGAGAACTATGAACCTATGATGTTGCTTAGATTAGACCGATGATGAAAAGTTTGTGCACAATAGACCATATTTAATGGGCAAACCAAGGTGGTTGTGTATTAAAAGACAAGCCTCTTGGTTATCTCCAACAACCTTTTTGACTCATGCGATGTATCAACTTAAATGAAGAAACCAAGGGGGCCAACCAAAGCAGTTGGCTACCACGGGTGCTGGTGGATTCTGCTGCTTTTTTGATGATNGGATTTCGGCTAACCTGCGGGTCAAACCCCCACAGTAGCCTTTACCTCTGTCCCACATCGGGGAAAGAGTCGTCTCCCCACCCCCATATAAGCCGAAGCACCATATGAGAGCAGTACCCAAGTGGACAACTGTGGTACTTGGGTACTGCTCTCATATGGTGCTTCGGCTTATATGGGGGTGGGGAGACGACTCTTTCCCCGATGTGGGACGGAGGTAAAGGCTACTGTGGGGGTTTGACCCACAGGTTAGCCGAAATCCTTTGGTGGAGGGTGGTGATATCCCGGTAATGGGAGGTTAACCCTTGGAAGACAGGGTCCCGGTAATGGGACAGGGTCTTCACAGCTCAATACAGTGAGACTTGAGTATAAGTGGCCTACTCCCGGTCCTTATTTTAAGGGGAACTGGCGAGTCGGTCACTTCCGGGTTTCTCTTTTGCTAAGTGTGTCTGAGTTTGTTGATGTGAGGACTTAAGTGTGTTCATATGTGCATGCCTTAGATAAAAAAAAAATGCACTAAATTCATAACACACATACAGGAGGCCAACTACAAGTAATCAGATGATCCAAGCCCAAACAAGGTCCACGCAAAACCTGGGTAGATCTTCCACAAAGTCCTCGAACTTGTTGCAGTTCTCAATCCTTCTTCCTGGCAAATCTCCATTAACCCTTTTTTTGTTCGTAAAGCACGGAGCACCAGCTCTAGTAGTTGTGGTTGTCACAGCAGCAGAAGAAACACAAGGCTGTGAATACGTGTATACTGGGTCTGTGCTTTGATGTCGCAGAAGTTCAGACAAGAGAAGAAAAAGAGACGCCATTGAAGTTGGGTTGCCTTTTTCTTGTTTGATGAATTGCGTCAGAGAACTATGAACCTATGATGTTGCTTAGATTAGACCGATGATGAAAAGTTTGTGCACAATAGACCATATTTAATGGGCAAACCAAGGTGGTTGTGTATTAAAAGACAAGCCTCTTGGTTATCTCCAACAACCTTTTTGACTCATGCGATGTATCAACTTAAATGAAGAAACCAAGGGGGCCAACCAAAGCAGTTGGCTACCACGGGTGCTGGTGGATTCTGCTGCTTTTTTGATGATTTGTGTTGTCCATTGCCCCATCTAGTAAAATGCCACCGTCTTTGTTATTAAGACGAAGGTACGAGACCCTTTTTTTTTTTTCGTATTAAACATTCAAATAATTTTTGGTCATAGAGCTTCTTTAGAGTGTTCTTTTTTGGGTAATTGCTTGGGGAAGTGCTTCTTTTGATTTATTATCTTAATCATCTTTACTCCTTGTCATGATTTTATTAAAAAATTATACTTGATTCTAAATTTTTTTTTTTTGGGAAAGTGATTCTAAAGAATTACTTTTCGATACTCAACTCTTATAACTCAACAACGTTACATTTACCAATTTTTTTTTATCATCTTTATGCACCGTCTGAATGTGGGGTGAATTATTTGTGATCTCATACCACTAATTCGATTGTCACCATTACACCCAATATTTATTTGTGACGGAGACGGAGAGGAGGAGAAAGAGAGTAAGGGGCTTAATTCTCTCTCTTATTATAAGTTATAGTTAGACTACTATTGTAAATTAAGTTTGTCAATCGTATCTGGTGAGGTGGATGAGTGTAGGATATTAGTGGGTTTGGGTCGAAAAAATATTTCAGTTATACCCAATTTGTCTATTAATTCGTGTCTAAAGAATCGTGTCATATCGAATTCGTATCGTGTATGAATCGTGTATAAACAATATATAAACGAGTCGACTAGTTTTATCCATATTCAATTCGTTTATTAATCGTGTCGTATTGTGTCCACTCATTTACGAAAAAAGTAACTTAAAAAAAACTCAAAACTTTATAATTTCGTGATGTGTTAACATATCAGTGTTATATTTTAATACCATAATTGAGATTCTTGCCGCAAGGATTTGGGCCTTAGGGATGGGCTGGCCCATGGGAAGGAGAGACAAAAATTAGGAGATGGACCTCAATGGAATTTGGGATTATGGGAGGTTGTTATTGGGCTAGCTTAGATCTTAAGTTGGTTTAATATTGTTTTGTTATTGGGCTAGCTCATATCTTAAAAGAGTTTAATATTGTTTGGCAAGCATGTATAATGAAGATGAAAAACTCGGATTTAGATTCTCTCTAATACTTTTTTTTTTCTTCTAATTGTCTCCTTAGCAAATAATTCACTCTTAATGAGTGAGGTGTATCCGCTCATATACAATAGGTCCTATTTCAATCCATGATAGGTGATCTGAAGAGCACATATATTGAAGAGAATCTATTTGATAAAGTCGATATCTTTTTTGATTTTTCTTTATTTGTAAATTCCAAGTAGTCTTTTTTTTTTTTCGGGAAATATTATAATATATGTATGTGGTTTTGAGTTAGGGACACTTGCCTCTTAGTATTGAAAAATACCAATGATATAGGGATTTCATTCAATATAGTCGTTAGATTAATTTTGAATTTTAATGTTATATGAAACTTATTTTCAATCCAACGTTGATTAACTCTCTAAATTAACTTTAAACATGTCATTTTAAACAATCATCTGCTCCAAAAGTTTAAGCAATCATCTACTCCAAAAGCTTAGTCCCTCATGTGTAAGTTATATGTTGGGCCTAGCATGTGAAAATCTTTTTAATAATTAGGGTGGCGACGAGATTTGAACATATGACATCATTTACTTCAAAAGTTTAAACTGTTGAAAAAGGTATAATTCAAGTATTTATATTTCAACACGTCACATCTACAATTTTTTTATTACTTTATCATTTTTATCAGTCAATGGTTGCTGGTCATCATCTACTTTAAGAGCAGAGGGAGAGAAAAAGATGAAAGTTGCATTGTTGTCCTCTTCAAGGATAAGAGTTTTTAGTCTTGTGAAATTGCTTTTCAATGTGATTGCCAAAAAAGGAGGGGGGGAGGGGGAAGGAATTGCTTTTCAATTCAATTTGGTCAACATGCAATCTTTCCTTTTTTTCATTTGACTATGGGGACAAAGTCACCAGGTCCAATATATACTAACTCATTTTAAACACATCCGTTTTTAAGAATACGTCATGGGGTGAGAATTACTCGCAATACATAAGAGTTAATGTTCCTCAAAACAGTATCATTTTACTCACATAAATTCATATCATTTTATCTGTTAAACGATTTTTGAGTAACAATACATCTGCTTATAAGTTAGACGACAAGTCATGAGCCAAAACGATCTTAGTCCAATAAGAATTATATCGGTCTGTTCAACACCCCTCCCCGTGCCCGCCGGCGCCCCACCCCAAACTGCATTATGCTTCATGTGATACTCCAACAGAGAAAGTTTTTTTTTTTTGGAAGTTTTGAAGACCATGAAAGAGTGAAGTATTGAATTTAATGGGGTTGATGTAGGAAGTTTCCAACATATGGACAAAACATAACAGATTAGTTGGTCAGTATATTGCATTTGCATAGGTTCTGGTTCAGACCAAAAAATCATCAAAAAAAGGGCGAACGACACTTTGCACTTTTGAAAGATATTTAGATTCTTAATTGACACTCTGAAAGTATAAAATTCTCAAAATTACAATCTCAATCACATAAAAAAATAACAATGTGGTATGTTTTACAAATATTGAAAATAAACATTTTCAGGTAAAACACTTAAACCTGAGCAATTTACAAAAGAGTTGAGCTTATAAATTGAAAAATATAAACACTACAACACTAACATATTGTCAGATAAAACAATAGATTTGTTGTTTTGAACTACATTATAACCTTTACAATTGAGGGTGGGATTCAAGAATTTTAACTTTCAAGGTGTCAATTGAAAATCTGAATATCTTTCAGGGTATAAAGTGTCATTCACCCAAACAAAAGTGTCAGCAAATTGTGGAAAAGTAAATGATCATCATCAAGTTGATGTCTTTAGTTATGTTCATTACAGGTTCATTGCATTTTTTTTGGTTTTTGTTTTTTGGGATGAGGAGGAGAACTTGAACTCTTTATCTCCCTTCACAAGATATGGAGTACCATTAGACCAGGATCCATTGCATTGAAAATCCTCTCTCTCTCTCTCTCTCTCTCTCTCAAATCTTGTTTCTTTAGACTATATGAATATGCTTGTAAGTAACAGCCAAAAATCTTGTTGATCTGTATGGAGATACCTTCAAAATATGCATCTTAATATACACATATGGTACACATCCTTCAAAAGTCCCTCAACGTTTCCAAGTGTGTCATACCCTAAACCCTAAACCATAATTTCTAATCACGAAGAACGGTTTTAAGTGAAAAATGGCGTTTGTGTTCATGTACATGTTTGTGCTTTATGAATAAGGAAAGAGTGAGAAGTTTCTGAAAAAAGTGTAACTCGCAAGCCAATCGATATGAAGGGATGGAAATATTAGGGGGAGAAAGATAATATAAAAGTGTTTATAGATGTAACCATGAATATCTAACATAAGCAATTAAAATTACATCCCAAAAAATATACAATGCAGATCATACTTTTGAAGTTCAGTATCAGCAACAAGTGGTTTAGGACTCATAAAGGGTTTTGAATAATGTCATACCAAAAAAAAAAAAACAAAAACATAGACAAGCACAACATTAAACGCGAAACAATAAACAAAATCAAGTTGTTTTTGGCCCAAAAATATTTGTGCCATCCTCAAATCAGGCGTTTTGCACAAGTATACAAGAGAAAATCATTGCTGCCTCAATGAAGGTCTACAATCTAGATCATTCACATTTGCATCAAAGAGGAACAGAGAAATACAATAAAAGAGGCTTGTTGAGAAGGTTTTTAATTACATTGTGACCTGGTGATGCTGCAAAAGCAGAATCATTGGAAAAAGTCATGAGAATTTAGGTTTATTTGGACGCGTTTGACCAAGCTTTTGAATCCAATGAACGAGCCCCTTCTTATGATCTTGACATGTTTGGTTTTGTACCAGATTTAGGGTTCCATCGTGGGCAAGCGAAGACTTGAGCTGCTCTAATACCTTTACCACCTGCCAAAACTCAGGCCTCTTCTCTAGTTGCAAAGACCAACATTGCTCAATTAGAGTTCTCATGGCAGCAGGGCAGTTCCCAGGGACAGCTGGTCTCAGGTTCTGAAAGATCCCAAAGAGTGTTGATCTTAGAATTACAGTGCATAAGAAGTCTTAATCTTTTTCCATTTGCAAAAGTAAAAGGAAAATTAAAAAAATAAACAGAAAAAACCTTCTGTTAAGTCTGGCAATTAAATAAAATGTGGAAGATTCAATAATAACTTCATCCATGTTAGACACCCAAGCACTGATAGCAAAACTATAACATAGCTTTCAGGAGAACAAATGATTTACGGTAACAAGAAAGGAAAGCAAATGTTGTACCCAATGTATAAGGCTCATGCCTATGGTGGAGAATGAGAGAGGTTAGTGACACGCAGTCTTACCCCAGTTCAAAAACAGCTTTCTGGACTCAAACCGGCGACGTATCATTTGGGTAGCACAGGCCATCAATACAGCCTACAAGTCTAATTAAACTTACACAAGAAGACGTGGTTTAAGGGGAAAAAAAATGCAGTCACCGAAAATTCTAAGGTGCAACGCAAACTCATCTCAAAAAACTAATGCACTTTTCATTTCTAGAGGTTCCACGGCTGCATGCATAAATCAATTCTCAACTACTATGAGCTAACCACCCTAAATTTGTGCCTTGACCTTATATCGTCCATTCATAGTGGTTTAACTAGCACCCTCTGCCACAATACTGCCAAGAGGGAGGGAGATTGAGGTGAGAGAAATTCTTGTGAGTGAATATTCGATTGATACACAAGCAGCATTTCACCACAATTTAAGCATGACCAATAATCATAATAATTGAAACATAAATAGGGTGTACAAAAACAGAGATGGTGAATAAATGGATGGATTACGATATGCACTGTGGAGATTCACAAAAATATATAAGCAACAGAAGCAAAAATATGAAACACAGGAAAGTACCTTGTTGACTACAGCAAAAGCAGCTTGTACGGGTGTCATATCCTCATAAGGGATAGTTCCAGCCATCATTTCCCATAAAATGAGTCCAAAGCCATATACATCAACCTTCCGACCATAGGACTTGCGTTTGATCATCTCGGGTGCCATCCAACGGTAAGTTCCTGGGTCATCTGCCAGAACATCACAATATGCCTGCTCACAAGCTATTCCAAAATCAGCAATTTTCAGTTGAAAATCTTGATTAATCAGTATATTCTCAGGTTTGAGGTCCCTATGAATAATGCCTTGTGAGTGAATGTATTCCATTCCTCGAGCAATATCCAGAGCCATTGTGATCAGCTTCTGTAAGGGAAGAGATTTGTCCTCAAGCTTGTGAAGATATGCCCTCAAAGAACCCTCGGAGAGATATTCTGTGATGATGCAAAAAACTGGTGGCTTCCTGCACGCTGCTACAAACTGCTTTGTTGGATAAGAACGTAATGAGTCAGAAGAAGTTCAACAAAGACAACAGAAATCGAACTTCTTCACCATTTAAATTGTTTTGCAATGATACAAAAGTCACATCCATAATGTTAAAAAACAGTTAATTTGGTCCATTCAGCTACTTGCACGCTGCAAAAAATGGCAAACAATTCTTCCTAGAAATGTGAAGAACAATGAGTAAATAGTATCAAGCAATATGGAAATGGAACAGAGTTAACTCCCACCAAACGGAATTCCTCAACTAATTAATAGAAAAGATTTATACATTTTCCACCCAAAGCAAATGATATATGGAAGAAGGAAGAAAGAAATTGATCACCTTTATGACATTTTGATGGTGGAGACGAGACAAGAGAGTGACTTCCCTATTGAATTGCTTCTCCAACCTTGCTGCTAGGGCTTCATTTTCGTCATCATCCGGCACCCTGATAATTTTCACGGCAACAGGTTCATCCTTATATATCCCATGGTAAAGCTGACTATGTGCTCCATGAGCAAATCTAAGGCCAAGAAACAGCTTTGACAAATCGACCCTATACTCATCTTCTGTTTCCACCGAGGTAACCCTTCCCCCATTATGGTCAAAATACTTTGTCCATGCAGACTCCTTCCAGCTCCTTGATTTATCGGTAAATTTCATCGAAGAGAAGTGCCTAAGCGGGTGCGTATTCAAGGGTGACTGTGAGTCAGTTGCTTTGGTTTCTTCTGAATCTTTGTGAAACAACTTGCCTCCAATTCCCTTCTCTGGTTCTTTTCTTCTAGGATGTGGAGTTGAAAATCTCTTCCGATCTGACCTAGCCTCCTTAAATGTATCAGAAAGCTTGGTTGCTGGTAGAGGTGATACAGCCCTCTGCTTGCTTGTGGTAGGATTTTGCTGAATCTGCACACTAGTGGGGCCTGGTTTTACATTAACAAAAGCTGTTCCAGGTCTCAATTTCATACCCGAAATTCTGTTTGGCTGAATCGTGAAAGGAACAGAGGCCAATCTTGTTGCATCCAACCGATAATAGACGGTGTGAGAAAATTTTGTTCTTCGTAACCAAGAATTAGCCTCGTCCCCCATCTCAACCCCTAGAAGACCTGATAACCACAAATCAACCAATTCTTCTTTCTCACTTCCTCTTGCTGAGAAGGAGGCTTGAAATCAAGATTTTCCTCCAAAATCCTTATATCACAGTTTACAAAGCTCCATATACACCATTTCTTCTAACCCATTAAAAGAAAAACAATGAACAAACAAATTCCACATCCAGTGAAATACACAAACCCTGAATTACAGATTAAACTAGCCTTCATACAGAACTTAATCTACTTACTAAAAAATCAGGCCATGCTTATCAAAGTTTTATCTCAACTCACATGAATCAAAACTTCTTGAAACCCATCAAAACCACTCAACATGCAGACCAACCGAACCCCAGATCATACCCACCCATCAAAACCAACAGAAACCAGACCACAACCCACCCTCACCTCAAACAACAAACCCTTTTCAGCTTCAAAGTCAAATATAAAATTCCTTCCAAGTCTGCAAAATCACACACATACCCTTATTAAAAAGCCAATCGAATAACTAAATAAACCAATCATATAATCCCACGAACAAAAGTAAATACTCAATTAGACTGAAAATGAAGAAACACCCATCTAAGTTAAACCCCATTAACCACAAAGAAAACTAATAATTGCCTCAACACGAACACATACCAACTAGACAATTAAATAATAAAGATTCATTTATTTAATCCATCATTTTGTCACATATAGCACTAACAAATATGTAATATATACCCATGTAAAGAGAAACGAATCTTTGGTACATTAGACTTACCAAGAGGTTATTATCTACATAATATTCTAAAATAACCATCTCTGGCACATATATATTCGAGAGAGAGAAAATTCAAAGCGCGAGTTGATTTTTTTAAGAGGAGAGTCGTATATTATGACATCACAATATGGTATGTATCAAAATCAAATTACCATTTGGTATGCGAATAGGTAAGACTTTGAGGAGGTGTATCTAACCGTGGACCCGTATTTGTTGCAGAGGTCCACGGAGGAGGAGGTGGCGGCGGAGGTGGAGGGTGGGATCCCACCCCACCCAAAGAAAGTCAGAGAAGACGGAGAGGAGACGAATAAAATAATGAAGAATATATATATAGTGCAACGTAAGGGTCACTATCAGAAAACGAGGTACGAACACAAACGAAACTCTGCTTTGGCTTGTATACGGTGGAACTTGTACGGTTCGCACGGATACACTTTTTTGCTATTGGTTGGGAGAGAGGACAATTATCGTATGTGGGCCGTATGTTCAAGCCCAAGAGAAATCCTTATTTGGTGCCCGGCCTATTACCCGATTTAAGCCCGTCAACGGGTCAGATTTTGACTAATCCAAATCCGAATTTAAAAGACTGGTTCGAATTCCATCTGATTATTCGACAAATTTTATTTTTGTTGTCTATATCTGAATTCATTAACAGTTGGATATTCGGTCCAGAAACTTAATATGATCCGAATAACTTCATTTAACTAAAATTTAACAAATAACATCTAAATTTTAACTAAATTTTTTGAAGTAATTACTTATTTTTTAATACTTATATGGGAATATATGCATATTTTTGATCAAATTATAATTGGATCGAATATAAGTATATCCAAATTCAAATTTGAAAAATTTAAGATAACATATTCAGATTCAGATTATCGATAAAAAAAAATATCATATCATATCATGTTCAACTAATTGGATTCAAATCGAATGTAGATCAAAATTCGATCGATTGACAGGCCTAATCTGATTTAGTTTACTCACGTGTATATTCCAATCTTGTACAATTTGGATCTAACAAAAATCATAAATTTAAACATTTTGAGTACGATCTTGTTGGTAGTTCTCAAATTTTAAAGAATTTTATGATTAACGGGTTATTATGAGTTTCTAAGGTTTATTCTACACAGGTGGATCCCACTTGTTAAACGAGAATAAAAGAATATTAGATCCAAGGGTAAATTTCACTTTATGTTGTGAAAGATTTCAAGATTTTTATTTTTTAATCTTAAAGATTAAATTTTTCATATTACACCTTTAATAAATCAAAATTATTACAATATAACTCTTCTGTTAGTTTTTTCATTAGTGCCAATAGGTTGGCTTTTGACGAAAAAATAACGGAAGCTAACAAAATAATCACATTATAATACTTTTGATATATTTAGAGTACAGTGTGAGAAATTTAATTTTTAAAGATGCAAAATAAAAAATTTAAAATCTTTTAGGATATAAAGTGTAAAAAGCCCTTAATCTATTAATATGTTAGTTGTTCCTAGGAAAAAAGACTAAATCTAGTAAAATGTCGATCCAACAAGTTGGGCGCGACAAACGGAGTGTGCTGAATAGGGTCTTTTTCGCATGGAAATTTAGGGATCGTTTGGTAATGTTTTCGTTTTCGCGTCTTCAAAATAATTAAATACAGAGATAATTTTTGTCTCTGTTTTGTGATAAACACTAAAATAAAAAACATGTTTTGGTGTCATTTTTGTCTATCAAATTATGAGAATAAAAAATAAAACATGTTTGGTAACTACTTCACGTTTTATTCTAAATATGTTTTATAATATATTATACAATAAAATACAAATCTAAAAATTCCTTTAAAAAAAAATTGGGATTAAATGGCAATTCAATCTCAAATGTTTTTGTACAATCTCAAATGGTAATTCAATAAATTTCAAATGAAAATTTAATCCCAAATAGCAAGTCAATCAATCTTAAATTGCAATTCAATCAATCCCAATTGACAATTAATTTCCAAAAGATAATTTATTTCCAAATGGTAGTTCAATCAATCTTAAATGGGAATTCAAACACACACACATGCACAGATCTGTATAGATTTGCACAAATTTGTGCATCACACACACACACAACACATACACACACGCGATAATCACTCTTACAGATCTGTACAAATGTACAAATATGCACACACACACACACACACAAAACACATACAGATGCACAAATATGCACAGATCTGTGTTTCATTTTTGGGTTTCACATGTAACGAGCGAGAAAGAGAGAGAGAGAATGGAGCATCATCTTCTTCCACAAAATAAAGAGATCTTCTTCTTCCTCGCCATCCAACCACACATATCATCTTCTTCCACGTCATCAGTTCTCTTCGTTCGTGTATATATATATATATAAAGAAAGAGAGAGAGAGAGAGAGAGAGAGAGAGAGAGAGAGAGAGAGAGAGAGAGAGAGAGAGGTTGAAAAGAGGTTGAAGCCTCCTTTTATACTTCCATGAAAAATAACACATTTTTGTTGATTCCGATACCTCATTAAAATCTTCAACTAAGTTGCGCGCGTGTTTTGTGTTTCGGTTGTTTTCTGAAACACAATTTTTTTGTCTTTATTTTCATTTTTTCCAAGACAACTAATATAAAACAAAAACAAAAAACAATACCCAAACATGTTTTTGTTTTTATTTTTGATAAAAATTAAAAACAAAAACACAAAACACAAGACAAAGACAATTACCAAACAAACCCTAGTCTTTATCCTTTATCCTGCTCAAGGTCGATATGGAAATATGGTCTTATTTTGAAGAAAAATTTATCACACTCACAAGTAACAATGCTGAGGGGTGAAAAAATAATGCAGTGAAAAAAAAAAGGCGCCTTACTTAAATATGTATATGTTTTTGGTAATTGCCTTACTTTAGTACAGAGAGTGTAAATTTGATAAATGATACAACTATATTAAAAATATTCTAAAATTTTAATTACAACAATATTATTAGATCATATTACAAAAATCATTATGTTAAGATATCAAGTCAAATTATTAAAAACTAAATATGTTTACCCTATTAAATAATGACCTCAAAATTTCAAGTGCATTTCTTGGAAGGAATGTTGCACTTACCTTTAATTTAAGTTTTGATTAGCCAACTCTTGGTTGTTAAAGAAATAATAATAATAATAATTTTTACTCAAAAAAAAAACCAATAATAATATTATTATCATAGAAGAAGAAGAATATAAGATTTCACTTCAAACAAAGAGGAAATCCAAAACATGTCTTTTTCTTTGAGTGTAAGATTTCACTTTAGACAACAAATAAAATCCAAAGCATGCCTTCTCCTTTTTGTTTTCTAACAAAGGGTGGTGTTTACAACAATGGAATGTCAGGGTGGTGTTTACAACAATGGAATGTCTTTCTCCTCTAAACCATTGTAAATTAAGTAAGGAGTAATGGTAGTTAGATTTAATTTTTTGACTTAATTTGTTGATTTAATTATTTATAATCATTGGATTGCTAGTAAATTCTAGTATTTGTTAGGACCTGTAACCAATCTAATGATTATGGTAATAAATTAAATCTATAAATTATGTCAGTAAATTATGCTCAAACAATATTATTGTTAAAAAAATATGTTACTTATGAGTGATAAAGTTGATTTATGCAATTGAACATAATAATGCACAAATTAGTTTTGCACACCGCTTGTCAAGTAATTAATATAAATAATAAAATAAAGAAAGAAAACTCAACACAAGCAAGACACAATTTAAGTGGTTCGGTCAAGATGAGTTACTCCACTATAAAGAATTAGGATGGTCTGGGTGTTTTATTGTTGTAGCAGTGTAAGGAGATCAGGTGAGAGTAATGAGAGCTCGGGTGAAGTACAAGATGTGAGAGACATGAGAGTGATGTCATATGTGATCCATTGTGTGAGATGTCCCTCGTGTGTAGGTGGGGTTTATAGTCGCCTTTTTACAAATTAAGGTAACTTATAAGTAACTAAAAAACTAATTTGGTGAAAGTGAAGTCATCTTCGCAATGGATAAAGCTGTTGCATAACTCTCCTCAAGACCAGGTCTTACGATGATGTATTTGACTTTCTTGCTCTTTACTCCAAGGTGGTGTAGATGAGGTTTTTGAGATGGCGATACCTACTCCTTAATGACATGGTTTTTGGAGTCTTGATGAGTCTGATTAGAAGTGAATCTTTTTTGGGTTGGACCCATTGAATTTCGTAAAGATGAATCTTTTATTCAAGTTGGGCCCAAACTTGAGTTGGGTCTTGGTCCATGCCCATCAGAACACATTTGGGTCACTCATACTTTAATCTTGTCAATTTAATTCCTTACCTATTGAGTGATAAAATCATTATAATGATTCCTCTATTGAATGTTGTCATGTGTGGTGATACTAGACACATTTGATGTAGAAAAAGGAAAACATGAAGAATATGTAGTGCAAGAATGATACAAGAAGATTTGATATCAAAAATTTCTTAGAGGTTGACCCACTTACTTTTAACTTACAAAGTTAATAATAACCAACTAAAGTAAACCCAATTGATGATTTCTCTCTCTCTCTCTCTCTCTCTCTCTCTGTGCTGTCAAGAGCACACCCACTGTCCATCCACCAAATGCTCATCACCCATCACAGCCATTTTCAAAGCCCATATTGCCAGCCAATTGCAGACTAAAAATCAAGGTTCCTATCCCATTTATAGCTTCGATATTTCCTAGGAAGTTGCATGTTGAACCACCCAGCTGTTACAATTTACAATTGGGTTAATTATAATTTGTACTCTCCAACTATATCTTTTATTACAATCAACTTCTCATTGTTTCAAATCTTACAATTTGCCCCCTCCAAATTTCAAACGGAGTAAATTGACTGACAACAGTGGTTAAAACATGAATTGGTTAAAACATGAATCTGTCAAACTATGACCCTTGTGTCAATTAAGTCCTTAATTTTTTTTTTTTTTTTTGTGTTAGTAGGGTCTTTTGATGGTCAATGGTGGTCTCTGCCAATCTCTCTCTCTCTAATTTCTGTGCCTTTGGTTCTGATTTCTGAGTCTTAGATTAAGAAGACATATCACACTCTTTTGTCACTCCCACCTCGGAAGAATTACTTTCTTCTCGTGTTTGTATCTCTCTCTCTCATGGTGAAATTTGGCTAATAATTGATGGTGAATGTATGAGTTTTTTGATAAAATTTGTTGATGAATCTGTGAAAATTGAAGAGCACTCTTGATGAATTATGAGCGTATTTAACGGACAGAGTATTCAAAGTAACTTATAAACACCTCAACTCGAGAACTAGAAGCCAAAATTTGGAGGATAAGAACTTGGTGGGATATACTCCAAGACAATGACCGAGAAACAAAGTTTATCCAGAGAACATTTAAGCCAAACAATAACTGTCTATCCGGATGTAGGTGGGAGCCACATTAGTCCAATCATTTGCATTTGGAATGAATCAAAAACCCCTTGGTTTCTTTTTTCTCTCTTTTTTTTTTTGGGATGTGTGTTAATGTATTAATATAATTGTCAGGGTTTCTTACTTAGAGAGGCCAAATAGTACTGTAAGAAACCGATTGTTTTGAGTATTAGGGTGATATAAGGAGGTGATATTAAAAAAATAGTACGTGAGATCCATCTTATACGTTGTTTGTTTGGCATTTTATAGTCAGTACTATTTTTCGGATCGTAATACCGACCCGCTATAAACAGTAGTTATAATGCATTATAGAAGGTCTTCATGAATACCACATAGGGGGTGGTATTATATTCTTGGTATAGGTATTATAAACTAAAAAGACCGAAATACCCTCCGGTACAATTTTCATATAAAAGCTAGCCGCAATTTTTGACTTTTTAAAAGTTAAAATTGTCTTTTACATTAGTTAGCCGCAATTGTTGACTTTTTTAAGTAGGTATTACATAGATAATATTTATGATAAACAAACAAGGAGAATGATGGGATTATAGTTTAACACCGGGTATAATATACTATTGAATTGAAGTAGAATGAATATAAAACCTTATACCACCTAAATTTTATACTCAAAACAAACATGCCCTAATTGTGTCATTGACCATTTGCAGCCTTGACATTTTGTGCAACTCATTACATTTTGGTTTTGCATTTTTGGCAAACAATTGCTTCTTGGTTAATAGTATAAAGTGCAAAACTAATTGTTGAGGTGCAAGATTAAAAAAAAATAAGGGTTAATTATAGTATGTCCCCTCCAACTATGTCCCTTAGAATTAGCTCTATGTGGTTTCAAATATTGTAATTTGCCCCCTCCAAGTTTCAAGAGAATTAAATTGACTAAAAATAGTGGCTAAATATGTGAAGGAACCATTATACTCTTCATCTTATACATTATTTCCCATATTATTTCTTGACATACCAATTTTATCCCTAAAAAATAAGAAAAACGAAAAAGTCAAGACTAAAAAAGAGGAAAACCTTTGTCTCCACCTTATCATAGGGAAGGAAAATTTGTACCAGAACGGAGAAAGGAATGAGAGTTAACCATCTGAGTTAAGAAAGGATAGAAAGGTGTAAGGCTAAAAAGGGAAATAAGGATATTTTGTACAAGGAAAAAATAAGTGTAAGGGTAATTATCTATTTTCAACAAAATATGTCTAAAAATAACTATCGGAGTTAATAACAAAATAATTCAAACTTAAAAAGAACTATTTGTTGAAATTAAAACATAAAAGAGTGAATTGTAAATTATCTAAAGTTTTTTTTAACAAAATAATCCAAAGTTAAAGGGAGCATTTTGTAATTAATCCTAAAAACAAGATGGTAATTTTGAAAGCTTGAATATGGAAAGGATAATTTTAGGAATAATAGAATTATTGGACTAAAAAATTTGATTTAATTTCCCGATTTTATGACGTGTCAGTTAATTTGTTCCAAATAAAGATTCCAATAATCTTGATTATAATTATAGTATTGAACTGTGTCAGTTGACGCATTATTAGGTTATGGCATAAGTTCGTATTATTAATTTCTATATTAGTATTATTCTTTTTAGAAAAATACCCAAAAAAATACACAC